AAAAAGCATACATAGGCAGCATACATAGACACAAACAAGCACAATGTAATAAAATGAACACTTCAACATATCACTTGAGTTAATGAAACCACATTATTAAAGCTAATTAAAATCGAAATCTCAAAAACTGATTTTTCACATTATTTTCTGCATTACAGCAACAAAAGTTTGCAAAATATCATAATTCATTTCTGTTACTTAAAATTAATGACATTAAACATAACTGCATGTTAACTATCCTCATATATATATATATAATAATAACCTTAACTGTTAAAAGCTATTAATTACTAGTTAAAGTTAATAAAGATATGATAATTACCCCTAACATTTCCAATTTTTATTGTAAATCAATAACGTGCACTTTTTGTAAAGCAGCACTGAATCAATCATTATCGTGAAAAACTCTATACAAATAAGCTTGAATTGAATTGAATAGTGGTCGAACGCATTTGGAGAGATTGACCTAGGCAAACACGCACGCCACTTTGACGGCATTTGAACGGGAGCGAGTTTGTTTAACGCAGTAAATCCGCCTGGTCTTTTCCCATCCCGCGTGTGCGTGTTTCAGCTGTGGCCGTATGCGTTCTAATCCGCTCCGATTAAGAGATTAAGCGCAGGAGTATTTGTGTGCATGCGGCGGTATGCGCGTGTGTTGTCGTCGCTCCCCTGTGAGAGTGTGTGCAGTGTGGAGTTGAACTGCCCGCCACCTGTTCGCCCCTCGCCCCAGGGGGCAAATCTCTCTAATTCTGATGAGCAGAGACAGAAGAGCGTCGCCATGGGGATGTTCTGCAGGGGGACGAGCGCAGGATCAATCAATGTATGAATGCGTGTGCGCTGATGTGTCTTTGTGCACCGGCTCCGTACGTGTGTGTGTGTGTGTGTGATGTTAGGCCAGTCTAAGAGGCACTGGCGACAGACTGCACGGCGTGCCGGAGGTGACAGGGAGTCTGTGTGAGTCTCTGCGTGCTCCCAAAAACAGAGGGGCCCAGCCCTCATCGTGCCCAGCCAGGGTGGCTACATCCTGGGGACACGTCGCCCAGAGACTCCCTGGAGTTATATGCGTCTCTGGAGCCCGGCCTCCAATCTGCCATATGCCACGACACAGATGCGCCTCTTCTCCAGCACTTTTTCTTTTGTAGTTCAGGAAGTCAAACTCATAGTAGGTGCAAGTTTACAAACATAACTTGTGGTGGTTATTTAAAGAGACATTGTAGGATGGAGTTATTGCATGTCTTTGTATATAAAGCTGGACAAATGTCAAAATTCATCAGCATATAAAGTTGTATGTATATATAGAGTTGAAGTTTTAATTATTAGCCCCCCTATATATTTGTTCAACACATTATTCTCATTCTCAACTCATTTCTAATAACTGATTTATTTTATCTTTGTCATGATGACAGCACATAATATTTGACTAGATATTTTCAGGATACTAGTATTCAGCTTAAAGTGACATTTAAAGGCTTAACTAGGTTAACTAGACAGGTTAGAGTAATTAGGCAAGTCATTGTATAACAGTCGTTTGTTCTGTAGACAATCCAAAACAAATATTGCTTAAGGGGGCTAATAATAATGAGCTTAAATGGGTTTTGAAAAATTAAAAACTGCTTTTATTCTAGCCGAAATAAAACAAATAAGACTTTCTCCAGAAGAAAAAAATATTAGAGGAAATACTGAGAAAAATTTGTTGCTCTGTTAAACATCATTTGGGAAATATTTGGAAAAACAGAGACTTCAACTGTTTATACATGTACTTAAAACCACAGTTAACCAACAATTTCAATTCTGTCATCATTAACTCACCCTTTACTTGTTCCAAACCTGACTCTCTTTCTGCCGTTGAACACAAAAGAAGATATTTTAAAGAATGCTGAAAACCTGTAACCATTGACTTCCGTAGTGTTGCTTTTTCCAACTATGGAAGTTAATAGATTCCAACATTTGTCTAAATATATTCTTTAGTGTTTAATATTTTGTGTGAACTATCCTTTTAATAGGTCACTACATTTGAATTTAATAGTCATATTTTCCAACTTTTTTTTCCTTGCTTAATTTTTGGACTGGTGGTATTATCCATTTGTCAATATGAGAAACATTAGGGGTTCTATCATTGTCACGATTACCAGCGATCGTATGCCATAAGATCGCTGGATTTCACAAACAATAACTTATGGACTACAAATCTGCCATTTCTGGACTACATTTTCATTCATGCACTCCGGTCACACTCACACATGCTTCCTCATCTAAACCAATTACTCGCACCACCTGAGGATTGTCAGAGACTTATTGCACACACTATTTAAGCTACACACTCACTCATTCACTTTGCCGAGTCTTGTTAACTGTAAGTGACATTACAGAGCGTTTTCCTTGTCTTGTTTTCCTGTATTTAGATCTTAGCCTTGTTTATCCAGTTCTCCTGTTTAGCCGCCTGCCTTCCGACCTCTCGCCTGTTGCTTCGACTACGATTCAGGACTGCTTCTCAACACCTGTTTGCACCCGTATTGAGCATTGCTTGCCTAACAACGAATAAACCTGCATTTGGATCCAAATCTCTGTTGTTTGTGTCACTCCCCATCCCAACAATCATACACCCGGAGCGATAAGGTGGAAGATGTGTTTGGCACGGTTTGCTGCTTTTTTCAGACCAGCGCAACCCTAATTTTCACGTTTTGCACCCCGTTGTTTAAATAGCAAATCCATTTGCACCACTTTGTGGACTCATGGGTGTGCTGGTCTATAAAGGAGGTGTGTTAAGGCACATTGTTGGAGTGCTGCTATTTTAAAGAACGGAAATAGACCGCACCATTGACCAACTAAAAGCTGCTCTAAAGTCAAGAGAAGAGTGTGTTAGTTAAGCACCTATGTGCGTCCAAAAGACTTACACATTTCTTAAAACACACAGGATAAACAGCAATACACAAATATCTTTTCAGATGAAAACAAATAAAGAAATAAAATGATACAGAAATTATTATTTTCTACATGAATACATAAAAACCACTACCTTCATCTCAAGGGGGCTTTTTTTCAGTTTATTCATGACAATCTGCATTTGTATAATGTTGTTATTATTAGTATTATTTATTATATGCATATTTATATTTGCTTTAATAAAAACAAGGTTAGATTTGTCCACCTGTGGGGTTTTGGAGACGTCTGCATCACCATATAGTGCATAAGAACAGAACATGTGTTCGGATATAACTCAGTTTTTTGACCACACTTGGTTATTAGTGTTCATTTAATGCTTTGGTGGGAATTAGAACTGAATTTAGAAATGGTTTTGAAACAAATCTTTGCGCTTAACAAAGGAAAAAAAAAGTTGGCTAATGGATGTCTTCAGTGGAGTGAGTACAACACCGTTTCCGTACTCCACCAAAGTAAAGGAGTAAAGAGCAAAAATAAAGTAAAGCGAAAGTAAAGAAGCTGAATGGAGGAGGCTTGTTCTTTATCCTCTTGCTGCAGATGCTCTGTTTAACTGTTTTTTCTCGCTAGAAATGAATCAGTGAGTCATTCATTGGACATTTTCTCTGACTGAATCAGTTGAATCGATGAATTGCTAGCTGGTGACTTACTCTGACTGGATTATTTGAATCAGTGGGTTGTTAAGTAGAGATTTTGTCTAAACAAATCATTTAAATCAGTATGTTGTTAACAAATAATCTGAATCAGTGAGTCAGCAATAAGAGATTCGCTTTGACCAAAGCATTAGAATCAGTGAATTGTTAGCTGATGACTCATTCTGACTGGATTATTTGAATCAGTGGGTTATTAACTGGAAATAGAATCTGAACGAATCATTTGAGTCAGTATGTTGTTAACAAATGTTTTAAATCCGTGAGTCATTCATTGGATATTTTCTCTGACTGAATCATTTAAATCAGTAAATTGTTAGCTGATAACTCTTTCTGAGTGGATTATTTAAATCAGTGGGTTATTAACTGGAAATAGCATCTGAACGAATCATTTGAATCAGTATGTTGTTAACAAATGTTTTGAATCAGTGAGTCATTCATTGTAGAATTTCTCTGACTGTATCATTTGAATCAGTAAATTGTTAGCTGATAACTCTTTCTGACTGGATTATTTGAATCAGTGAGTTGTTAAGTGGAGATTTTCCCTGACTGAATCATTCAAATCAGTCAATTGTTTGCTGGTGACTCATTCTGACTAGAATATTTGAATCAGTGGTTTGTTAACTGGAGATTTTTTCTGGATGAATCATTTGAATCAGTATGTTGTTAACAAATCATTTAAATCAGTGAGTGAATCATTGGAGTATTGCGCTGACTGAATTATTTGAATCAATATATTGTTGGCTGATGACTCATTCTGACTAGAATATTTGAATCAGAATGTTGTTAAGTTGAGACTTGCTCTAAACAAATCATTTGAATTAGTGAGTCGTTAATTGGAGATTTGCTCTGACCGAATCATTTGAATTAGCGAATTGTTAATTGGAGATTCAATCTGACCAAATCATTTGAATTAGTGAATCATTAGCTGAATACTAAAATTTTGAAACGGCAGATACTGCGTCTGTAAGTGCTATAAAGTAAACGGGACATGACTTTAAAATGAGAGACCTGTGCTGCCAAATGAGTCATTTTGGTCGAAGTTTGGCCTTTAAAAATGGTGGACAGATTCATGTGCTTTCCAAATTATGTGCATGTTTATCATCTCCCAAGAAAAGCTGATTTGTTTTTCTGCACGCATCTTGGAAGGGCCTCAGATTTGTGAGTTTTGGACATGCAGAAGGCGTAACAGACAGGGAGAGACAGTCATAGCTGGAGACATGATGTCTGTAAAGATGAGAAGAGGAAAAAACCTTGTGTAACTAGCAGCGCTCAGAGCCAACATGGCTTCTCTGCGCTCTTTTGAGTCCAAATGGCTGGTCAGCCTCCTTCAAACAGGTTTTGAGCCAGTAAAAACAGCGTTATTGATAAACCAGACTTCCTGTGATAGAAATGCTGAGGTTAAAGTGTTACCAGTCCACGCTGAGAGAGCGCCTCCTGTAGGCCGGAGGTCTGGACTGCAGACTCCTGTCCTCTTTACTGCAGTGTTTGTCCTTCAGAGAGAGTCGCTGGGTCAGTTTCACAATCCCAGATTCAGTCCTGCACAACACAAACACACAGACAGAGCACAATTACTGTAGTACAACCACTGATTTACTACTGTTACCTAAAAACACACATTCACACACACACACACACACACACACACACACACAAACACACACACACACTGCCTGAAAACAGTCAAATCATCATACTTTTATTATGTGTCCTGTATGTATATTTATTAACAAAACAATTAGTATTATTAAGTAATATTATGATTATTATTATCATTATTATTATTATTACAATGATTATTATTATTATTATTATTATTATTATTATTATTATTATTATTACAATTATTATTATTATTATTACAATGATTATTATTATTATTATTATTATTATTATTATTACTGTGATTATTATTATTGTTATTACTATTGTTAATATTATTATAATTGTTGTTGTTATTATTATTATTATTTTATTTTTATTATTACTATTATTACTACTACTACTACTACTATTATATTAAGTAATATACCATATTATTACAATATATAATAATAGTGATAATAGTGTATTGTACATCTACAGTAAATGAGTGTGTATGGTTGTTTCCCAGTGATGGGTTGCAGCTGGAAGGGCATCCGCTGCAAAAAACATGTGCTGGATAAGTTGGTGGTTCATTCCACTGTGGCAACCCCGGATTAATAAAGGGACTAACTCGAAAAGAAAACGAATAGATGAATGACATCTACAGTAATAATAATAATAATTAGTTATTAGTACTTGTATTATGATTAAAGATATTAAATAATATAATACAAATATATTTGTAAAATTAACTCTATCCATCCAATGTAAAACAATCTAATAAAGTTTTTTATACATTTTCCTAAAACTGTTTGTTTCTTTAATTATTACTTTTTTCTTCTTTCTTTTTTCTTTCTTTCTTTCTTTCTTTCTTTCTTTGCTCTAGGATTGGATTCGCGCTCACAGAATCTGCACTTTGACAGATGTCCATCTAAGAGAGTTACGGTGTAGAGAAGCCCCAAAGAAGCGTACCAACCAGACTTGCTGCATGCCCAGAGTGAAGCACGGTGGCAGATTAGTGAAGGATTGGGCAGCTATATCATAGCATTCCCTAGACCAGGGGTCAGCAACCCGCGGCTCTTTAGCGCTGCCCTTGTGGCTCCCTGGAGCTTTTTCAAAAATGTTTGAAAATGCAAAAAGATGGGGGAGGTTAATATATTTTTTGTTTTAATATGATTTCTATAGGAGGACAAACATTTTTAACGTTTTCAAATGCTGTCAAAGTGTGTAGAATTAATATTTAATTTCAACATTTCTGTCAACGAAGATTTGCGTCATAGCCTGCGACACAGGTTTCTATCAGCAGGGTGGGATGCCAGGCAGGTGGCTGTTGTAAACAAACCAGGAGATAATAAAGCATGGAAAACCGTTCAAAGATGGTATGACATATTAGAACACTTATTTGCAAACTTTAAAAACAAAACCAAGATAATACAAAAAAATAAAGATATACCTTTCTCCATTAAGACAGTGAAGGAAAGGGCTATTAAAATGGTAGGTAACATCACCGATCAGCAAACCAAGAACATTAATTCAGTGCCAGCATACTCAATTGCCTGTGATGTGACCGATATTCAATGCGCTTTTATGCAGGTATGTGAACTCTGATGGGCCGCAAGAAGAAATGATCAAATTAATAACACTAAAAGACAAGAGGCTGTGCTGAAGTGTTTTAATGACAACAAAATAAACACCAACCACCTGATTTTAGTGGCTATTTAATCATGAAGGCTCATTATGTATTTGTAGCCAACTTAGTCATTTTGATAGTAGGCTAATATAGCTAATATAGATACATACAGCATGTGTATCGTTTATTATAAGGCTTATATAAGGCTTTACATTTTTTGTGGCTCCAGACATATTTGTTTTTTGTTTTTTTTTTGGTCCAATATGGCTCTTTCAACATTTTGGGTTGCCGACCCCTGCCCTAGACCCAATACTTGTGCTAGATGGGCGCATTACTACCGAACCGACTATGCAGGCTGTGCAGGGCTTGTATCTGACATTCCCAAGATGAACTGATGCTGTATTGCCTGCAAAAGGAGGCCCTACAACATACTAAAGAATTATTATTGTGGTCTAAAACCAGACGTTTCAGTTTCAGAAATTATTATTATTAAAACTATTATGTTTATAAACGTGTTCAGAAAAATCTTTCCGTTAAAACAGAAATGTTCAGCGGGGCTAATAATTCGCACAGCTTTAAACGACAACAAGTCAACAAGTGCAGCTGAAGAATGCTTAAACACTGAAGGACAAGGTCAGCGAGCGAGAGAGTGTCCCAAACACTCCTGACCTCATCCGTATTTCTAGAGGAGCGTTCCTGGACAGAAGCCGTTTGGGAATAAGACGGGAGGAAGGACAGCGGGATGAATCTGACTCCGCCGGCAGCTGCTCCAGATGACACTGCGCTCTGATGTAATGCCATTGGAGGATTTCTTACAGTAGGAAGGCCTGAGTGATGACATCACCTCCTTCGAGAGCGCACGGACACACACAAATGCTGGTGTAAAAATAAATACCAAACATAAGCACGGCACAAGTCAACGCTTAATTTGTATGCGCTTTTAGACATGATTGAAAGAGAGATGAGATCTGTTTCAAAACTGCGCAAAGCTTTCTGGGATTGCCTACTGGCTTTTGGCTATTGGTTTATGTATTTGTATATGAAATGTCAGGGCATTTGAATTATACATTTTTAACATAAAATAAATGCACATCCACGAAACGACTTTGATTTCTAAAACTACTAAATAAAAGTGAACGTGAGAGAGATGAGATCGGTTTCAAACCCGAGTAAGCTGTACAAAGCTTTCTGAGATTGCTTTTAATTAATACATTATTTAAATATAAAATTATGCATCTGAATTCTATATAAGAATGTTAATGCATAACAGAGGATTTTAATAGCATAAATTAAGTTTTCATTTTTAAAAATAAATAAATAAATACATTTTTTAATAAAAAATGTTTCATTTAATTTATTTAATTTAACCTAATTAAATTAAATTAAATTAAATTAAATTTAATTAAATTTAATTTAATTTAATTTAATTTAATTTAATTTAATTTAATTTAATTTAATTTAATTTAATTTAATTTAAAGAGAACATTTTAATTGCATAAGTTAATTTTCCACAAAAATGTGTAATGGCAAGACACTGTGAAAAATAAAAAATTTAATTTAATTTAATTTAATTTAATTTAATTTAATTTAATTTAATTTAATTTAATTTAATTTAATTTAATTTAATTTAATTTCACTCAATTAAAAAATAAAATAAATAAATAAATAATAAAATTTAATTTAATTTAATTTAATTTAATTAATAAAAAATTAATTAAAATTTAATTAAAAATTTAATTAAATTTCACTCTGTGAAAAAAATTACATTAAATAAATAAATAAATAAATAAATAAATAAATAAATAAATAATATTTTTAAAAATTATTTAAATTTCAAATTTTAATTTCATATCATTTCATTTCATTTAAATAAACCATCAACTATTTCTGCACATGTTTAACGAAGCGGATACCCTTCATTGCACTTCTAGTTAGACCTAAACATTTACAGTAATAGTTGCCTTGTACTTGTGCATGTCTAATGAAATTAAAGTTGAATCTAATCTAATCTAAAAAGTGTATTTAGGATGCCTCCAATAGATAAAAAAGACAAATTCAGACAAATGTGAGATGGTGAAGCACTAAATGGTCTTAAAATACATCAGTCTGATTGCAGCACTATCTCTATGAAGCCTTTCAAGTGCTGTCTAGGTAGGCGGCTCACTAGTTTCTGCACCAGAGTTCTGCACCAGACCGGGTGTGTGTGTGTTGTTTGATGTCTACTGCAGCCAGAGCTCAGATCCAGCGCTTCAGCCCAGCCTGCTCATTAGACAAGCATATAAATACCAAACACACAGTATTAAACAGCAGTGCCAGCGTACACATAAACTGCTTAGTTAAGACCAAAATAAAAGCTCTCCATGCCGCACATCAAATGTGTCACGCCGTCTTATTCAACCACTTAAAGACTCTGACCCTAACACACACACACACACACACACACACACATCAGTACTGAAGTTTCTGTTACACTTCACAGACTAAAAGTGACTGTTAAAGTGACTCAGAAGAGAAGAATCAAGAATACATGTGAAAGTCCATCCATCTCTTAGTGCGTTTGTTTGAGCATCCACCTATTCACAGATCCATAAAGATAACTGCCTATGTTTATTCATCCATCCATCCAGCTGTTTATGCATCCATCTATCTCCTTAGACATCCATCCATCCATCTATTTATCCATCTATCCATCCATCCACCCTTCCAGCTGTTTTTCCATCCATCTATCCTCTTAAACATTCATCCATCCATCTATACATTTCTAAACCATCTATAACGTAATCTACAACTTTTTACAACCATCGATCATCAATCTACCCCTTTATACATCCATCCATTCATCTATTAATTTAGCTGTTGATCCATTCATCTATCCCTTAATCAACCATTCATCCATTCCTACCCATCCATCCTTTCAGCTGTTTATCCATCTATCTATCCCTTAAACATCCATCCTCCGTCCCTTTCTCCATCCATCTATCCCTTAAACATCCATCCTCCATCTCTTTCTCCATCCATCTATCCCTTTTTACATCCATCCATCCATCCAGATGTGAACTTTTCATATCATATTATCATTCAACATATCATATTATTCATACACATCAATAAAAAATAATAATAGATCAGAATAAACTGTACATTTAACAATCATCATTTTCGGATAAAACAGTAATAAAAAATAATAATAATCAGTATATTTACAATGATTCATTTATAATAATCTAGCTACAGGCATTAATGTATGTGCCGCCAGAAGGACCTCGTCAGTGTTTTCCCCTAGTTAATATTGCAGTTGTGTTTTACTGTCTGACTCAGTGAATTG